AGGACAATGGAAAGATGCATGGCCATCGGTACTCTGGTCACTGGCTTTTCTCAGGATCGATGCGGAATGTGAAGCTTCAACACCCGAAGAGCACTGGAGACTTATCCCCGATACTCTGAGGATACAATGGGAGGCACGTGCGATGTATCTGGAAGGATACAGCCATGTATCGCTAAAGGAAATTCCAGTATGTCTTGTGGATAAAACGGTTGAGATAAAGCGCTTACGGGAGCTAAGTGAATTCACGGACTTGGTACATGTACGCAACTTACTAGAGAATGATCCGATCCCGACAGTGATGTGTGTTTGTGGAGCTCAAGAGTATTCCACTGATGCAAAGAGCATACAGTTCAGCCATCTTATACAAGCCTATATTCCAGAGTTTAGCGCATTCCGGAGTGATGCCTTCCGAATGGTTCGTGGGATGCGGAGAGATTTCATTGAGCCATGGACACAGCATGGTTATAAAGTAGCTGGTGCAGTACAAATATGCAGCGGAAAAGGGTTACTCTTACTTACTTGTGTTGATCATGGCAAAGGCTGTGGTTTGCAGTATCTACATATGCCAAAGAATCCTATCAGAGGGAGTCTACCATCGCCTTACAGTGAACAACTTGGCACGGTTGTTTTGATCCCGTCGGTATTGCAAAGCTTGAAGTCCAAATATTCATCGCACACGTGGCAGATGAATGAAGTACGTGGAGGATATCAAGGGTTATCTTCTTGGGTTGTAAGCGAACGACGAAAATGGAGCATAGCATCTGAGATAGTGGCGGATAGAGAAGCATTGATATATGAGCAGAGGAAAGATCTGAATGCTTACTTCCATAGCACTATCGAACAAGACCCGTTGAGTGGTCCGGTTGCGGAGGAGCTGGCGGTAGTGCGTAGTGCTGGGGATCCTGAAAAATTGAGCAGTGCATTATATGGGAGTACCACTGTTGGCGCACGGGAAAGTGTTGATTTGTTAAGAGATAGGAAACGGGAATTGCAAGGTACGCAGAGAAGTTATGGAGGTCGTGCGAGCAATCTTAATGCCGTAGATGCGAGCAATGTAGTGCAGGCAAGAGAGGGAAGCGGTACTCTACCAGAATACCTCAATACTCTAGTTATTGCATCGCCATTATCAGGACGAGGACCGATCTTACCCACTATTCCGAGATACTCGGGATTTACTCCTCTCCTATGGTTGTATGTAGTAAGTTCTATCGGTGTGCCAGATATTTGGAAGGCAGCATCGTTGCTTGCTAAAAACACGGTATCTAAGCCACGAGCACAGCTTCTCGAGTATGTTACACGCAGTATTTTAAAAATCCCTACAAAATGTCGCGAGCGATTGAGCGATGGCATAGCGCTACAAAGGTTGATGTTGGATATTGCAGATGCTACTGAGGACTTCGGGCCAGATGAAAGCTACAACAGTGCGGTGAATTTGGGTAGGTACTACTGGAGCTCACCTTTGGTGCACTGTGTCTACCATGACAGTAGAGGGATACACTTGACTGCTGCATCGGTCTCGAATAGCACTCCATCTATCGGCATGCGGCAATGGCAGGATGTCCGTATATTGATGATAGTTACAGACTCAAGCCGAACATCAGTACGTCGTGCTGCAGAGATACCTGAAAGTATTACAATTGGTGATGATGTTTTTGGGTTGTGTATGGTCAGCACAGACGATTCTAGGGCTGATGATGATTGGATTCGTTGCAATCAGAATAGATGGAGTGCAGAATGCTTATTTAAACCAGGGACAGAAAATACTTACTGGTATTTGATGGAGCGGAGACGTCGAGGGAAGTATCTCGCACCCGGGAGAGTCGAAGACGAGCTGAGACGCATGCGAGGAATATGGAACCTGTTGATTTATAGGCGAAGTTGCGGTGGACAAGCAGATACACTCCGATTGGCTCTGCTACAGTATACAGGAGGTCAGGGTGTGATGTATTGCGCGGTACATAAGTCTCCTCTGGTTGCCCAGCATAAGAGGGATAAAATGCGATGTTGCTATAACATAAGCGGTAGGGAGGACGGACATGAGAGGTGCAGTAAACACGCAGCATGGTCATGTCCTGAGGCATCGTGTACAGCTGGCATCTGTGAAAAGCATGGAATATACTTACTGGAGAGCGAGGATGCAAGGCTTGGGTATTATTCTGTTGAAGCAGATCGTAGTGGAGTTCCTGAAGATGAGGAGAATAGTACTGGCAGTGAGGAAGACTTGAGTGAGCGAAGTAGCCGGAGTGACGTTACTTTTGCTGAGGCAAGCTCTGAGTACTTCGCAGAGGCAGAGTCTCAATGGGGTTCCGAAAGTAGCTCCAGTGAATCTGATAGAAGCATAGACGAAATGTCATCTGAGATTCCTTACAGCAATGCTGGTCGTTGTGCTACGTTTGTGGAACCTACAAATAATATTTTACACCATGTATCCGGTCACATCCTGTTGAATAGGCATTGTAACTTACTTGTGCGACCTGGTAGAGCGCACGAAAGTAGTATTGCAAGTAAACGCTTTCTGCAAAGCGTTGTGTCGAAGGCTAGCGGAGAGTCGATCCCACTTCTACAACCTGAAGGAGAATTGTTTCCGTCAGCATACTGGCACTACAACGATGATAATTTGAGTATATCAGGAGCGCTGCCGAGCGTGCTGTATGACGAAGAAGGAATTACAAAGCGATATGGTTTTGCAGGCATTGTGGCACAAATAAGGGCGCGAGTCCGAAACGGACGATTGCTGGCATCAACAGATCCCCGCATGCTGCAATTCTATTTTGATGCTATGACTAATTTATTACTGAGACGAAGTCATAGTCGGATAGTTCTTCATAAAGGTTTCTGTGCTCTGCACGAGAGCTGTGGCCAGTTCGAGGCAAAAACACTTGAACACCAACTGCGATTCGAACAAGCAGAATCTCGACGTACGGTCATGGAATTAGCTGCCGACCTTGCAGAGACAGATGAGCCCCGAGTGACATATTTCCTTACCTTAACTCCGAATCAGAGGTTATGTCCAGGGCTTCGGAAAATATTTGAAGCTCTCGAAGCGAGTCGTTTAGAATGTTCACCTGAGGAATATCGAGCGCATGTACAGGGAAGCTTGAATTTGATGTTACGGGCATGGGTTAAAACGGTTAAGGCCGTGATGCACGCGATCGAGAAAGGGGGAGTTTTAGGGTGTACGGTAAAAGTGTGGTGGCGTTTCGAATTTCAAAATGAAGCTGGTAATTTACCACACGTTCATAGTCTGATTTGGACCAATGAATCAAATAGTTCGATGATAGTACGCGAACGAGTTAGCGCATCGTTGTCACATTTATTCGGCGAGGAAGCTGAGCTGACAGAGTTTGGGCTTGTTGAAGGATATAAAGATTTTGAGAGTCTTATTCACACCGCTTCTAGGGTTCAGACACATGACTGCGCAAAAGGGAAATTTAGATGTATGAAGAGGAGTAGAATTAACGGAGAAGGCGAGTGGAAGTGCCGATTCCCTCAGAGGCCACAGAGCTATGCGTATGGGTATGAGGAAATAGAAGTTCACCACTCACCTGAGGCTTTGAATATCCTCATAGAAACGGGTCTGGCAGGTAGGATTGAGGGCACTGAGGATGTCGTTTATCATGAGCTTCTTCGGACTGGTAAACACGTGTATCCTGCAATGAAAAATGAACATTTTAGCCCTCTCAACGGACCTCTATTCGCTCTCTTACGTGGGTCGATGAATTTGTTGATTTGTTCAACATATTTTGCTGCGCGATATCTTGCCAAATATGCTGCTGGCGTTGAGGAGAGGAGTAAATTATCTTTCACGGCAAGTGCGGCCACGAATGAAGTGCAGTTGAGCAGAAGCGGCGAAGCACATCCCGAGAGTGGTTTTGAAAATGTGAAGGTTGGGCCAGGTGGAGCAGGAGAATCTGACAAACAAAAACATAGGCGAGAGGTGACTGGAAAAACCATAAGCTTATCTGAAAGCTGCTTTGTACTGGAAGGATACGACTACGTGTACTCTGATGCAGATTATATCCACGTGAATACAAATCCACCGGAAAGTAGGAGTGGTGTTGTCCGACAGAAAAAACATGGGGAATTCTCCGAGGGAGACCAGCCGCAAGGAGTAACTTGGCGAAGAAGTCTCGCACTTCCTGAATGGCGACAGTTTACTAGATCGCAAGAGGTACTTGCTTACGATTCGGCTAGGAGCGAGATCCATCCCGACCCGATAACAAAGTTTGGATTGCGACCGCCTGAACTACTCTACGTGGACAGTCTGAGATTATACACCAAGTGGTTTACTGCTAGGAGTATTCCTCTACGTGAACGAAGAAGCGCTGACGGTAGAAGATTAAATTCACATGAAGCTAGAGTGTCAATAGATGTGTTGGAATCGAGTTGGATCGATGCAACTGGACAAGAAATCAGAGTCCAAAACCGGTATCTTCCACGTCTTATTGATTATACTACAAAGCGGGCAGAAGGAGACGAGCGAGCCGCACACGTTCTGCGAAGGATTTTGAGTGTGTTAGGTTCTAATGAAGATGCACGAAAGCGATTTGTGGACAATAACAGCAAGCGAAGAGTTGTGGTATTTTCATCTCCCCTCCCTCATTTTGGTCATAAATTTCTTATCCACTTACTGTATAGCCTGGGACGTTTTGAGACTGAGGTTGATCTTTTCAGCTGCGGTAACTTAGCACGGTCATTCCGGATAGCAGAATTAGTGGGAGACGATGAAACTAAGCGAGGAGAAGAAATAGCGGGAATATTGAGGCGATATATTACCGAGCAATTATTATACATCCCAGGAGGGACGAGAACATTCGATAGGGATGTATGTAATGCGAAGAACTGTCTTACGGAATTGTTGGAGGAAAACAATATTGTATATGCAGCTACACCACTTGTACTCGACAGAGCGATCAGTTGCAGGATGTATAGAGAGTGCGAAGAAGAGCTGAAAGATACACGGGGAAGACTAATAGAGGCACTGTCGAATATGAATATACCTGGCCTCCCAAGTGAAGAAGATCTTCGTAGAGCATCAGCGGATGAGCCGCTGGAGTGGAGGCCTGAAATACACAGAGCAGAGGAACAGAGCATGGATTCGTTGCGGTCGCAAGAGGTAGCTATGGACAGTTGTGTGAAACATATCGACATCTATCTTTCTGGGTCCGTGGCATATCAACGAGGATTGTTACTCTGTGGGCCTGCGGGAAGCGGAAAGACGCATGTCATTGCGCAAGCGGCTGCATACGGGTTATCGAAAGGCCTTCATGTACTTTTCACGAGCTTAGCTGCGGAGCGATCATGTGCTTTGGGTGGACGTCATATACATAGTGTGTTTAAAATTCCTATCCACTATACGACGACGTCCGCAGCCGCCGAGTCAGCTATCGGGAAATTAGGAGCTACTTCAACGGGTTTGAAGTTTTTGGAGTGTCTCGATATGATAATCTTCGATGAGATTGGCACAATTCCAGTCGATATTTTGGACGTGATTGATCGGATTTTACAGTACGTCCATGGATCGTCCGCCCCGTATGGAGGAAAAATAATTTTTGCGACGGGTGACCATTTACAGTTACCTCCTATCCGAAAAGCGTCGATCTTCACTGGAACAATGTTGTTGACCACCTTTAAGCCCGTGGTCCTTGTTGGAGAGGTGCGGGCTGCGACATGCAAATACCTGAAAAGAGTGTTAGAAATAATGCGGAAGACTCCTCCCTCATCAACGGAAGTAGATGAATGCAAGCAGCTCATTCAGAGCCACTGTCGAACACTTGCTGATTGGAATATGCTAGAGCCAGATGTGCTGCGTGTTGTGGGTAAGAAGAGAGCCGAAGAAATTGCCGAAAATGATTTCATTACTTATGAGAGAAGTAGAGGTCGACATGCGATGATTCTAAAAGCCTTTGACGAATTCACAGTGGATAATGGCGTATTGTGGCAAGAAGCGAACGAGAATGTAAGAGCCGAGATGTCATCTCGAACAAGATTCGCCGAAGAGTTAACACTACTAGATGGAGGCTTACTTCAATTCGTAGCTAATGACTCTGGAAGACAGTTCTGGAACTCGCAATTGTGCAAAGTTGCTGAGTTTCCAGCATTTGATGGTGATGCGATTACTGTTTATGTTGCGCCGGTAAGCCAGAGACATGTACCTGAAGCAGTAGACGTTGAAAGATTGGGTTGGAGGCGCGTGAAAGTGTATAAACAAGCTTCTCCTACAGAGAGATTGGCTGGAGGCAGTGGTCGACGTTTCCAATATCCCCTTCGACCTTATATTTCATGCACGATACATAAAGTCATTGGTGACACGTTGAATAAAATTGCCAGCCGAATATCATTAACTGAGTCTGATTTCACGTTATGGTTGAAAAGCCAAGTGTATGTATTATTTTCCCGCGTGAAGCGCCTAAGGGATGTCACGTTAATCGGGGGCATGCTAGAGAACGTTAATGGAATAGGAGCATTGCTGACACAAGTAAGCATTGATTCGAACTATAGATCTTATGTCGACAATTTGAGTATATAACATCTATCTTTAGGTTAGTCAATGGGACTTGTATATTGAACACGTGTTGGACTCGACAAACGTGGGCCATTCAGCCGCGAGAGATGCTATACGACGAGTGAATATGCAATATCATCCTCTACCGACGAGAAATATTCCAGTGGCAAAGCCTATAGGAGGAGCGGTATACTTGTTGGTATCTATCCCATTTCCATCAAAGACTTACATCGGGCAGACGAAGAATTTACCCCGTAGATTGCACGAACATAATAGAGGCGCGACCCCAGGCGCTTCTTCAACCGCCATCCATTTACGGCCGTTTGGGATAGTCGCGTATGTTATTGGTTTTGATACGTTGGGAGTATCTAAGGAAGAACAAAGGAGGGCACGTTTGGAAGTTGAGCAAACATGGATTACTGCATGTATGCGGTATAATACAGTCCCAACTGCAAAGGAACGGCTCGCAGCATGGGGTTGGGTACAGCAACAAAGTAGCAGGTAACAATCGACAAGAATGAACCTAAGTAATAAGTATGAATTACAGGTTTTCGGAGCTCACATTGATCCACTGTGGTGAAGTTGTGTATGAATCAGCAACAGAGGAGATCTTCTGAAATGCATAAACAGTAAGTTATACTTCACAAGGCACTGTAATGTTAGCGAGAAATTATAACCGATGAACGAGCGAGCGTAATGTATCATTACTAAGGATGCGGAATCATGCAGGCATGAGGCTAAGCTGAATACGACATTTATATTTATAATCGTGCATAACGACGAGTTAAGGCAAAGCAAAGACGCCGGTAAGAAAGTTGTACTTGCATAGTCATAAGTGAGTGTTGCAGACATTCCCCCTAGTCTATGAAGACATTACCATTCATCAAATGTGAAACCTGTACTAGGTTGTGTATTAGAAACAAAGGGTGATGTCGGTAAGATCATTTAGAGTACCGAATCATAATCAAAGTCACGGGAATAGGCAGATACCTGACTGATCTGAATGACACATTTTTGTTTATCAAATGCTGAATTTCAGTACGTTGTATTTCAGGCGAAGCACAGATGTAAGTAACACAATCTTATTCAATGCATGATAGGACTTATGGAGTACGTGTTAAGTTGCAGACATTCCGTATACCCGAATATTTTCCAGCTGCTCACGTGCAATGAGTCACTTCAACGTGATGTGCTGGAGGCGAAGTGTTGACACAAATGACGTAATCCGAATTATCACTGCATGATCCGAGCGGTGTAGTATATAGCATTTTGCAGGCACTGTAAAACTCCGCCAACGTGAATAAGGCGTTCATAACATTTTCACTGAAACGATGTTGTATTTTGTAGGCAAGAGGTCAGACACGAAGCTAAGGTGAATATTGCACAGTACGTATGATATCGTAGGCACCCTGCGTACCTCAGTAAGACCTTTCCATCATTGAAATACGTACTTTACCTATCTTTGTATGTCGAAGGCCAGACGCTGACGTGAGGACATGTCAAAAATGACGGTATGATGGAAGATCTGATGTATACAGGACCTCGCAGGCACCGCACCGACATGAAAGAGTATTGCTTGTCATAGAATTCTGAGTGAAACGAGTGTATGGTAGACGAGGCCTCAACTAAGTAAGATGGCATTACTTATCAATGCGGAATCAGAGTTGCGAGGTACGTTTTTCATAGCAGGCATCTCATGTTCCTCTCACATTATGTGAGTCACATATGCATCTATCCATTCCTCACTTTCGGTACGGCAGACATTATGGATAGGGATGCTGACCTGAGTAAGGTAACGCGAATTGTCGATAGATACCAAGAGCCACGCAATATCGACAATTTTTGCAGGTACCGAGCCGGCCTCAATAACTACTTTTCTCCTATGAGTTGGCTACAATATTAAGCCCTAATATTCAGCCCTCAGACATCGAGAGGCTTACTATTCATGAAGCGTTGAGCAAAAGCATGATAGACACCGAGCATAAGGGTGGCTTTCGCAAGAATACAGTCATATATATATAAGTAACTATCAAGAACTCATTAGTTACTACGGAGTTGAGTTTGGCGAACAAATGTATTACTATTTATACTTGAATATAGTCCAGTGTATCGAATCTTTCCATGACACATCGAAAGCCGACTACATTCGACTCGAATTTTGAACAGCTCATACAGAAATGTCATCCCAGATGTTACCATGTATTACTTACTCCACTGCCTGCATTGGGTGCTAACGACATTAAGCTCCGAGAATATCTTATGGATGGACGAATCGGACAACTGAAGGCTCGAGAAGGAATCCTGAACGGAGTGAAGTTGAAAAGCATTAGGTCTGACAGAGTATTCGAGCTAGGAGTTGATGATCGGAAATTGCTGAGAATGTATGACGTTAATGAAACATCCGAGGCGAAGCCGACGTATAAACGAGCACGACCGGGCGGATATAACGAAACGGAGTGTAGACGCAAGAGACAAGAGCATGCTAGAAGCAATTTCGACCCTCATGAACACAAACGACGAGCACTAACCGAAGCATGGCAAGTATTTCTAACGCGAGCAGAAGGAGCGACGGTAACGTATAAGGATATACCATGGCCAGACGGGCCTCGGACAAATCCTATGTGGCTACACGAAACACAATCAGATAGCGAACGAAAGAAAGTAGTGCGTGAAGCATGCTTGCGTTATCATCCAGATAAATTGATGGGTTATTTGAAACGCTGGAAGGTGAGTCCAAGCGAATGGCTGAAGATAAAGGATTATGCGACCGATATAACTCAAGCAATTTTGGACAAATGTATCTCGTAAATACTTAATTAATAATCCTCCCTATTATACTACCTGTACCTAAGCTGCTAACCAATTTTATGTAACCTGCATTACGGTCGTCTTCGGCATTGTAGACTTCAGTTGCCACTGCGGAGAGCAGTCTCCGCATACGATGTTCTAAGACAAAGTCGGCATAAAAGCTATAATGTAATTGTGAACAGCGAAATATTACCGCATGTTAACAAACCTCAGCTGAGTATTTGTTATACTGTCCCTTGTGTTGTATATGTCGGAAATTTGAGGTAGCAGTAATAACGCTGTAGTGGGGAATCCCTACTAGGGATACGTTGGCGAACGGTGAACGAGCAGACGAAATTGGAGGATACCTGAAATACATATGCATAAACGACCGTTGAACATGCGCTTCGCAGATAGTACATACGTGAATAAAGCTGAGCGGAGAACGTGGAAGGGACGTTGGTGATGCGAGAACCTGTGGCGCATACATACTGTAGACCAACTGTAGTGACCGTTGCCAGGGCCTTGCTGTGACGACGGGAGTCGTACAAGGTTAGAAGCTTGATAGCGTGGACAGCGAGGTTCTTGGCACTTGCAGGGGCGAGCTACCTGACCAGAGAATGATAGGGTCTACGTGACACACAATGTACGTACGTAAAGCGATGGCGATGAGGAAAAGTATGACCTTGGCAGTTTCTAGCAGCATTGTAAGTGATGTAAAGTCCGTCGGACTGATGCAATCGGTTCACGGCCTAGCTGGACACATTTTCTCGCCTTATCGGACCTCAAAATACCTGACTTCCTCCACGTCATATCTCCGTGAACATGAGCATAGCCCGCGTAGAAATGCTTAGGTAGAAGGAACCAAGTACATTTGAGACGCTACATGAACAACTTGTCTTAGAAGGGGAAAGCGTTTAGTGGAGTTGAATGCGTAAGGCATGACACATGCGTGATAAGCTAGTGTAAAGGACGAAATTGGAAGAAGTAATTGCGAAATTGTATGAAGATGAATTGAAGACGAGTGGATAACAGTTAGTGGATGGAAGGCTATGCTCATGAATTGTGCTTGCATATGATGTGATGTGGAATATGTAAAGATGTACTATACGATAAGAAAGGGTGTTATTAGATTTCATGACTGGCATTTTTAAGTTGAATAATAGGTTGTAGAAACATATGGAGAGGTAGAGAAAAGTAATGTGTAGTTAGTGGGGATAAATAGCGAGAGGAATGTCATTGAAGCCACTGAAATTATGACTTGTGCATAAATGTATACAAGTTATTATCAAGAACGAAGTAGTTACTACGGAGTTGAGTTTGGCGAACAAATGTATTACTATTTATACTTGAATATAGTCCAGTGTATCGAATCTTTCCATGACACATCGAAAGCCGACTACATTCGACTCGAATTTTGAACAGCTCATACAGAAATGTCATCCCAGATGTTACCATGTATTACTTACTCCACTGCCTGCATTGGGTGCTAACGACATTAAGCTCCGAGAATATCTTATGGATGGACGAATCGGACAACTGAAGGCTCGAGAAGGAATCCTGAACGGAGTGAAGTTGAAAAGCATTAGGTCTGACAGAGTATTCGAGCTAGGAGTTGATGATCGGAAATTGCTGAGAATGTATGACGTTAATGAAACATCCGAGGCGAAGCCGACGTATAAACGAGCACGACCGGGCGGATATAACGAAACGGAGTGTAGACGCAAGAGACAAGAGCATGCTAGAAGCAATTTCGACCCTCATGAACACAAACGACGAGCACTAACCGAAGCATGGCAAGTATTTCTAACGCGAGCAGAAGGAGCGACGGTAACGTATAAGGATATACCATGGCCAGACGGGCCTCGGACAAATCCTATGTGGCTACACGAAACACAATCAGATAGCGAACGAAAGAAAGTAGTGCGTGAAGCATGCTTGCGTTATCATCCAGATAAATTGATGGGTTATTTGAAACGCTGGAAGGTGAGTCCAAGCGAATGGCTGAAGATAAAGGATTATGCGACCGATATAACTCAAGCAATTTTGGACAAATGTATCTCGTAAATACTTAATTAATAATCCTCCCTATTATACTACCTGTACCTAAGCTGCTAACCAATTTCATGTAACCTGCAATGGTGTGGATTATAACCTTCAGATAGGGATAAGCTGGAGAATCAGGAGGTAATCATTATAGTGATAATAAGAAGGTACTGAAAAGGTAGAATTCCGTGAGGTCAGCCTGTTCGTCTCCCGTGGGGGAAGAGAGTGCAATAGAGGGAGGAGTTGAAGGGCAGACCCAGCTCGGCAAGAGGAGCAGTTTGCTCCCCTACTCTCTCCTGTTTTGGCACTGACTGCACTGGAACACAAGACCATCGAGTATAAGTGTTAAGTTATAAGAAAATGTGGTAGGTGAGTTGTATACAGTACATGAATCAGACAGTTACAGACTGTTATACGCAAAATGGAATAGAGACCTCCGTTGAGTATGTTCTATGTCACAGGATGTGATAAAGAAATGATGATAGGCCTACATCCAGGGCAGGAAGGCACCCTGATAGAGGCAGGGGCGCGCGCCTCAGTAATCGATTCCAGCTGACGGTCTTCCGTTGTCTAAACAGTAGCATAGGATATATGGGCACGGCTGGTGAGCATGTAGGCACCTGTCAGTGTGTTGTGTGTATCACGCAGTGCTGTACACAATACCCGAAAATGAAGCACCTTGTACGGCCCGTTGACGTAATCGGGATATTATGCAGCGGTTCGGAATACGTTGCTCGCGGCGCGGTGCAGAATAAGGCTGCGTGGGACCCTCCCCACTCCGCCACTGAAGTTGACGGGGAAATGGCCCCCTCACCAAGTGGGTTCACGAAGATGTCTTTTGGCGTAATGGTTAGTAGTCTCGTTTGGCTCGCGGAACACCCGAGTTCGAATCCTACTAACTCACGTTTGCGAGTAGTGGGCGAATTTTTCACTCACTCTACTGCGGAGTTGCTCCGCAGAAGAATAAGTCGCCATAAGGAAAGTTGAGAGTGTGCGCCCAAGTGTTTGCGCCATCGTCAATAGCACTATGGTTAAGATTTCCACGATGTATTCCTCCTTCGTATATAGGAATACATTCCACGATCTACCTTCGTACGAATGACCTCCTTTCGGCACCACATACTCAGTTTCCTCCTTTATTTTGCCCTTTGTGAAATCGAACTTTGTCTTGGTGAGAATAGCTGTTGAGCCTTCTCGCAATCACAGTAGTTGGATAGTGTGCGTTTTAAAGGGGAAAAGTCGCATACAGCCGTACAGAAAACCATACGCATACACACGAATGGCAAGGGGGTGGCGGAGGGCAGCTTACACGATCTTGGCGTATATCACTGAATTTGGATAGCGCACGAAACTGTACTCATTTTCGCGCGAGTCACTTTCCAGGGCGAAAAACAGTAGACATGCTCAATAAAACGACTTCCATTCAGCGGAAAACTCATTTGCCAATTTTTGCATCAGGATGTCAGCGTTAAAACTTCAAGAAAAAGGAGGCAACTTTCGTAAGGCGCTTCCCAACCCATAGGAAGGGAAGAGCCTCGACGTTCCTCAGGCACGACGTGCTCTAATTGTGGTGTATCTTTACTGAAGGACGAAGGCCACATCAGATGCAGTGACAAGGACTACTGTGGGACGTGCTTCGCAACATCAGGTGAGGGGGAGGGGCCCGGGATCGAACCATGGACCTTTCGGATGACAGTCTCCTCAGACGCCCACCAGCAAGATCCATATTGTGTGATACCTCCGCTTAACTTTGTAACATCTCGAGACTCACAGCCTTTACGAGGTGGTAGTTGCAGTAGCTTCCCCTTCGCTGCTTAGTATTCACACATCTAAGATACCACCCAAGTCGATCCCTCGTCCGATGAATCATCCCCATGGACAGTCGTGGATACACTGGCCTTGCTAGACGCCGTGGCAAAGGTGAACTACTCATACCACACCTTGAGCACATCAGACCTTGGCTAGGTTGGCGTTGGGTCATGGGACGATGTGTTGGCACGCATGCGGCAAGCTGGAGCGGACTCGGAAAAGGAGATCACTCCAGCACAATGTCGATCACGGTTTATGCAACTGTAACACCTTCAATTTTTCCAGCCCTTTCATCGACCGTCCTCATGCAGGTACTCTGCGTGGGAAGCATCCCCGTCGACTAGGAAGGCTGCCTCCAACGACTCCATAGCTGGGCAGGTTCTCGAGGCTGATGGGCACTGCTCTGTGATGAACCCCATGGCTGACCACGATGGTCCGGTGAGGAATATCCTTCATAGTGCGGGAATCTTTTGAGATGCAAAACAGGTGGTGGACTCGGTCCTGGGCAAGAGGAAAAGAAGCGTTGCTGCAGCAGCCTCTAGTGATGTTGATAAGTAAGTTTGCCGGTGGAAATTTCTGGGGTCTTCATGACGACTCGCAGTACGGGGAAATATGCAACTGTTGGTGACAATATGAAATTTGTGGGGAAATTTCGGCACTTCGTATATAAACTCCTATACTAAGCTTTGGAAACTTCTGAGCTCAGCCGAGGAAAGGGAGGATATATTCCTTCTCCAACAGTGATCGTCAACAGGTTCATACCAGGCTATACGCCAAGAAGAGGGGACTTCGAAGTGGACTACGATGACTGCGCGGAACTCCTTCTCGCAGATATGGAGTTCAACCCCTCAGATCGACCCGAGGACACCAAAATCAAGGCTGGTGAGGACGGTGTTGGAAAAGTCGTCGTTGACGAGTGCTGGCAGATGTCCTGTTGGCCTACAACGCGCGGTTGTCCCTTCGTGAGGAAATGAAGCGTTATGTTGTGGCTCGACAGATGGTTCTGCAACAGCCGCCGTGCAGTGCATCAGCGGGGGGTGGGGGAGTTCCTGCACCCCCTCCTGTGAATGCACATACGCGTGCAGGTGTGTTGGTAGTGTGGTGACTTGTGATGAGAATGTATGTGGCTTAGGGCAAATCTTGAGTCGACTTCTCCGACCTGTGGAAAGGTTTTTTGATTCAAAGGACGACTGTGAGGAGTTCAAACAAGTAAGTGGTGGTAGATTCGGCTCGGGGAATTTTATGCAACCGGCACGTTGTCAATTATCAAGGAGTGTTGGCTCGGAAGGAGTTTGGGGAATTTTATGCTACCGGCCCGTTATCAATTATTGAGGAGGGTTGGCTCGGAAGGAGCTCGGGGAATTTTATGCAACCGGCCCGTTGTCAATTATTGAGGAGTGTTGGCTCGGAAGGAGTTTGGGGAATTTTATGCAACCGGCCCGTTGTCAATTATTAAGGAGTGTTGGCTTGGAAGGAGTTTGGAGAATTTTATGCAACCGGCACGTTGTCAATTATTAAGGAGTGTTGGCTCGAAAGGAGTTCGGGGAATTTTATGCAACCGGCACGTTGTCAATTATTAAGGAGTGTTGGCTCGAAAGGAGTTCGGGGAATTTTATGCTACCGGCCCGTTGTCAATTATCGAGCAGTTACTGTTGGAGGAACAGAGGATCGAACACAGGCTAGAGGAGCTGGAAGGGATCAAGTCGGAGGAGACGGCCTCTATCGATGCACCAGCACGTCAAGGCACCATACCAGATGCATGGATGAGGAAACATGTTCTTAGGAAGCGACGAGTCAATAAGGATATTGTGAGAAAAAATACCCTCACCAGGGATCGAACCCGGCACCTCATTGACAGGTGAAATCCGAGTGTGTCAAGAATCTAGGCGAGCAGGAACTTGCGTGGTGTGAAGAGGTTGATGTATCACCACATCACTTCGCACTAGTCCGGGATGCACTCGTACGCGAAGCCCTGAAGGGCACGGCCGGAGGAGGAGGAGGAGGAGCTCAATTGGTGAGCGTTTGCAGTTGCCTCCTTTCGAGAGACAGCTTTGGTGGTGTAGGTGCTGAAGATCTCTCGAGCCGAGCCTCTTAGTCGTACATTCAAATTCGAACTGGAAGATGCAGGAGAGAACGCTCACGTTATGGCCCCTCGGAACCCCGAGCGAGCGTCCCCAGCGGCTACTGCAGGCGGCTGAGAGGATGACGTGGAAGGACGATTTCTATTATGAATTACTCGCCTTGTTGGGTTGGTCAATACTGGGGCACAGTGTGGTGATGGTCAGTGACTTGAACTATGCATGGATTCTTGAGCCTCGTCTCCCTCCTTCTCCTAGCAGTGGTAACAGCCTCATTAGTATGTGAGTAGTATTGTTGTCGTCGTCGTTATCAGGTCCTTCGCCAGGGTGAGGCCAGTGTGGGCTCCTACGAGTCGTACGGCGACTCAGCGGATGACTCGGATGATCAACATGACGTTGATGTAGGTGGGCATTGATATCGTTATGTGAAGGCTCTTGTTAGCACTCTGCAAAGGGTGAAGTGCAGGAGAGGGCATCTGTGAGTGGAGGAGATGAAGCGGTGAGTTCTCGGTTGGGAAGAGCGGGGTGGGAAAATATGTACATGGTTAGCAGCTGCATGCGTAGGTGAATTTTGCGGAAATTTTGAGGAATTCTCACTGGTGAACTTGTATAGTTAGTGAGGTAATTTCTGGGTTCAGCTGGGGAAAGCGAACACGATTGGGAAAAGGACCTCATTGTCTCCTGTAGGGTCGCGATGATCTCAACGATCGAGAGATGACCGAGGTGAGCTCTCGAGGCCTGTCTGTTGACTGTGGGGGAAGATATGCATATGTGTTGGTGATGACAATATGAAAATTCTGAGGAACATGAACGTGGTCAATCACATATGTTGGTGACAATATGGAAATTCTGCAAAATTTTTTCATGGGCTTACGTACACTCCTAGCCGAATTTGTATGAATTTCCTATAACTGGTGAAGGAATCGGCTGAAGAGAGCGAATGTGAATTCCTCCAAGACTACTCTCAGGAGACGCCTATGTTAAATCAGAAGCCGGGCAGTGAAGTGAGCATACACTCTATGGGGTCGAGGGTGAGTTGGATCTTATATATTATCGAGTCAGTCCTTCCTGTCAGAGTAGAAGCGTTGCTGATCTCGTTGGAGCAACAACAGGAGGAGTAGGTTGGCGTTTGTGCTGGCATTATTCAGTGTGGATCTTCAGGAGGAAGGGCTACCCGCGATTCGTCCCTTCACACCAAGTGCCAACGGGACATGGCATTCGCACTTCATCCAGAGGACTGTGACCATCAAAGAGAAGCCTCTAACTTTCAAGGAGTTGAAGAGTCTCGTCAAAACGGCGAGGCTACCTAGTATGAGGACGTCGACCAAACCGACAAGCTACACCTTTAATAGTTGGGCTCCCTTGGCGATAGGGGGCGGCCTTAGCTATTCGGTGAGTGGTTATTCGGCTGTGGTTATTGGATTAGGAATTGGTGTGGTAGTTGGAAGTACCGAGTTCGCCGTATACAATGGATGGGGAAGGAGCAGAGGAGGTGAGCATGTTATGTTGCAATTCATTGCTTTCCTCAACAGCTGAGCTTCTTTTGTGGAAACAGAATTATACACGAAATCTGACATCGTAGATTATACGAGTTACAAGTGAATTGTTCATCATCAACAGCCTTAATAACCATTGGAACAAATAAACAGAACTCGCGATGATATGTAGTATAAGCTTTACTACAGTGCGAAGGTTAACTTTCAAGCTCGCTGGTGAAAGTATATAGAAACGAATAAATTATTGTTTCTAAGAATTTTCATATTGTTGCCAACAACGTGCATATCAGGTAAGTAGAATACAGAAGTTGTGCGGGCTCAAGAAGTTGAGGGACAGTCGAACACACTACGTAAGAATCTACTGCCGTGGAATTCGCGGTTATTTTTCTATAGTAGATATCAGTATGCAAGGTTAGGCTCAGTGGGATGCCTCGGGCGTTCATCGACTCTGAAAGTGGTCTTCCTACTATAAGGATGGAAGCCCGTAGCCTCATACGTCCCCTGAGAACGGACATCACTATCGAGTTCGTGTACGATCGCAGTGAAGAGGCCTATGGGGCTTTCGTTGCCCATGCTCTTATGCTGGAGGAGGAATATAGGGTGAGTTGGTGCAATTGTGTATAGATTCAAAGATTTGTGGTATGATGTAGAACACTCGAAGTGTGGAGAAAAAGGGGAAGAAGTCGGTCGAAACGACCACACCTGCTGATTCCCACGTACTGCAGTCCCGGGCTGAGGGGTACAAGGCTCTTACTGATCCCTGGTGGTTTGAGGTTGGTCTCCTCACTTGATGTCCTTGTAGTATGCTTGCCGTCTTCCAGGAGGCTCTACCTGGTGAAGGCACCGTACAGCAGTCTAGTCCTCCGTCTCCAGGCTCTCCCCCTGCTGATGATGGTGATGGTCGTGGTGAATCCCCGAATGCTGTTATTGACGATAGCGCGTCTGGTCCTGCTGTACGATATTCGCTCGCCCCTGGTTCTTCTTGGACTTCCATAAGTGAAGCTGAGGAGAATGCCGTTGTGGAGACGCCCCTGGTGAACTACACAAGACTGCCTCCACTAAACTTGCAAACTATTGGTTATGTAAGTGCATTGTGATGTTCTCGAAGAGTGGTATGATTATTATTATTATTATTTTTGGTAGGATTTCTTCACCAGGCAAGGAGTACCCGTTAAATGGATGACAGGAGTTGATGTAAGCCCTCGAGCTTGTATACCGTTCGAGTCGGAGAGTGGCGAGAAGATGATGTTCACTCCGATAAGTAGGGCAAGTTATGGTATTCGAGAAGCTTTATCGTGGTGCTATAGGTGCTGGGATAGGAGGCGAGAGTATAAATGGTCGTATGATGATGTACATGGTCCAGTACGGGGCTACTGAGAGGAGCTGCAGAGCTCTGGTGGAAGTACTCACGCTCACTCCAGTCTACTATGCAGTAAGGAAGCTCAATTCTGGGTGAAATTGTAAATTGTTTGTTGGTAATTGTTCGACTTTGCTACTACTACTCAATAGAGCACAGTCGATGCAGAGATAGAAGTCTTGGTTAAGTTTCTAGTGTATCGTTGTTGCCTCTGGTAGGAGAATTAACGGCGAGCGCTTGTGAGTTGTTATGTATGTGCGTATGACAAGTTCATTGTCATTTACTCATTACCGTATTGAGGCATTAGGAATATATAGTCTTAGCTCGAGTTTGATCGGTTGGGTGTCCTCGATTCGAAGGAGTTGTAAAGTGTACACGTCTTCGAAGATATGGTGATGAGTTCTTTTTTACGCTTGAGTCAATAACCTCTCCCTGCAAAAGTAGAATTGCAGTTAAAGACTATTGATGCTTTTGTTTATTAAAAGTCTCTTACACGTATGCCTGTGGCGTAAGACTTGACGTCTGGCGACATTTCCCTACAACGAATACATTCACGTCGAGTGTATCAGAATATTCACGACTTTGTTTATTTATAGGATTATGATGTTGATGATGAAAATGAACAAACTATCCTCGTAAAGGAAGATAAGAAGATATTGACCGAGTTAACGAAGGTTGTTGGAACGAAGAAGGGTGGTGAGAGGAAGGACATAGTTATGATACCGAGGGTGGTGCCCTTCCACCCTTTCCCGGCCCACCAGAGACGGCGTAGCGCTGTGATGTAGATGTTCATGTTGTCCGTGTTGGTGATGTATGCAGTTGACCTGTTGAGTATTGGGAGGAATGGGAAGTTTTGGTATGCAATGATGATGGAGAGTAGGGAGATCGAGTGATATCATCATAATCATCGATATCTCAGGACGCTATTTGAGACTATCGAGGTGTCGATGTGTGACACATCATGTGTCCTTTCTGGAATGTATGTTCGCTTTCCTCAGCTGAGCTTGGGAGTTCCCGAGGCTAGAGTTCGAAATTTACACACGACTTTGGGTAGAAGTGATAGGAATCTCTCCAAAATTTCCTCCCAGAATTTTCAGATTCTTACCAACACATGTATTTGACAATGTGCATATTTTTCCACCACACAGCTGGTGAGAAAATGTACAAAATGCAGGTGAGCAAGAGGTCTTGGATATTATATGCTGTGATCAGGCATTAGTTGAGCATTATATCTAAAACTATCAGCTAAAGGGCACATATAACTTGAAGAGTGCAAGGATAACCGTTCTCAGTTACTTACACTGAATAGGTGAGGAGATCACAATGGTGCACACAGAGATATAATGCTCAACTAATGCCTGATTACAGCATATAACAATGATGGGACTGCGGAAGTGATACTAGTTCGAGGAGTATGGGAAGATTACGACGCCACTGATATCGAGGCAATACCAAGACTGATTTTCGGTTGTCTTGGGCAACAACAACGGCTCCACTATTGAGGCAAGGAGGATTTCATACCGACTCTGTTATGGATTATCTTCATTAGATTCAGCGATGACTTCTTTGGGCGTTGTGTGGTTAGAATGCTTCTTACAGCAGTAGTAGCCTCCTTCCACAATCGTGACTAGAGTCAGCTGCAAGCCGTACAACATCTAGATTGACTGCTGTGGCTGACGATAGGGTATATACAGCTCAAATGACTGTTCAACATCTACAGAGTCTGTTAGGAGGGTAGATTTTGCCACACTATCCACACATACATTAGATAGTCGCGACTCGTTTCCCGAACTCGAATATCTTACTAGGTCTTCGAAGTGGTGTAGGTCGTTTAGGTGTCCCCGGTTCGATCCCCGGATTGGACGTTTTTCCGTCACCTTTTCGTGTATATCTCTCCGAGCTGTTCACGTAATCGAGCTTTTAGATTCTTGCGCAAACCTCGGCGTATAGAGGAGTCGTTTGATCTATCTGGTGGCGTTCCACACTTGGTAGTCAAGTCGGAGTAATTCTGCACGCACGCACAACACGAAAGTGCCTGTTGTTGCGGTATATACTCCGCTCGCTTCGCAACTACATACAGATGTACACGTTAAAACTGTACGCTACTTTCTTCCCTAAACTCAGTGCCTGTAGTGTTACCTTATACCCTCCCATTTCCTTCACGTAGTTTCTCATCAGGATGCTAGGGCCAACTGTCATCATCGGTCTGGCCTACTGCGTGGCTGTATTCGTAAGGCGGGGGGTCTGCCGATGGATCAGTCATGTTTCGGTCGTAGGTGTTGGGGTCCAGCGAGATGTCGGGAGGGCACGGCAGTTTCCAACGCCGACTAAAGATTAGTGATGTTGACATTGTCGTTCAAGATTGGGACAATGCTGATACTTTCCCAGAGAGTGTTCTTGTGAGTGATGCCGCGTCCATCAATATGGAATATGTGGTTGTTGTTAGATTAGAACGCCTTCATCGTATGCGGTGGCGAAGGAGGCGGATCAGGTGAGGGGGGAGCCTGGCAGTGTGGGGAAAAATATGCACATGGTCAACTACATGTGTTGGCCACAATTAGGAAATTCCGGGAAATTTCTAGTGGTTGCCCTATATAAATTTCTATACCTATCGAGGAGATTCTTGAGCTCAGCTTTGGGAAGTACGCATATATTTCCTCAAAACTGCGAAGCAGTGTTGAAATATATGTTCGCTTTCATCGGCTGAGTTGGAGAGTCTTCTCAAGTTCATATTGTAGAAGTTCATACTTCATACTTGTTCAAGTTCATCGTTCACTGTTGTAGAAGTTCATATTGGATGAATTAATGCTGTCAGCAGGGGAGACCTAGGGTTAACTATCATTGCTCCGACGAGAACGTTCGAGTGAATCTTCCAAGTGATTGTAGCGAAACTAATACTAGCTGTCTTATATCGTATTAACAAGGGGTAGAAGTGTACAGGATTCTGATGAGAATTTTCCAAAATTTCCTCCCAGAATTTATATATTGTCAATAACGTATGTGGTTGACCATTTGCGTATTCCCCGACACTACTGCAAACATCTGCGTTGTCGTCCGCTGTTTTGTATCTACTCGATGTGTTTTCGCCCTTTCCAGATCCAAGCCGTTCAGCAGATCTGCGACCAACCAGTCACTCCAGAGCCTGCTGCGGTTTCGGATAGAGCCGAGGTTGGTATGCAGATTTCGAATAGACGGAGATATTCGACAGATACCCCTGTGCCGTATTAGAGTCACGACACCACCTCGGGCGGGGTACGACAAGGAGAGTGGGGAGTATGTGATTTTCATCGAAGGAGTGGTCGCTGAGAAGGACACTAGGATGACGATGGACACTACCTATGAGAAAACAGATCTTGGAAAAAGACTTTTTGTTTCGCATTTTACGACGCTCTTTCATCTGTATCATGTAAGGGTGGAGAATATCATGTTGCTGATGTGCATGCGTGCACTTGATCTTAGGAGCATTCTGGTGAAGGTGATACGAAAATCCCGGCCACCTCGATGCGATGGTTGATGGAGGCCGGCCAGTCGTGGTGGAAACCTCTTGACGAGAAAGTAAAGTTGCTATGACCGACTACTACTCCATTATGGCGTCTTCAGATGAGCCTCCAGGACTTGGGCCTCAGCATAGAGGTGAGGGTATGTATAGCAGGTATGGGCTTGATGGTGCTGGTTTATGGTAGCTCGGTGGGGGTGTTCAAGGCTTGGGGAGGAAGGGACAACCATTCGATGTAAGGAGAGGAGGGGGAGATTGTCGAGAGTAGATGACCGATTTGTGAAGTTGTGATTTTAGTGACAATAGTGATGATGAATAAAGTCGTTGTTAACAACTCGGGAATTGGAAAATGATTATTGTTTTTGCTGGGAAAATTCGAACTAACTCGGGAGAAGAAGAAAGGCGTTGTTTTATTCTGTTCACGTTAGGAAGGGGTGGTGTTGTTTCTGAGACTTCATCTGTGTTGAGGAAATATATGGTTGAGCGCAGGAGCTCCCTCACTACTCACTATAGAGGTTGATAAATGAATTAGAATAGGTATGAGTACGAATTTCCCGAAAATTTCCGCAAAATTTCCATATATTCATCGACACATGCAGTTGAACATGATGTGGGTTTTTTAATATGGACTGGGCGGATTCCCTACCGCTCCTTGTCTACTTCTTTAGATAGAGTGGTACAGTGCTCACGAGGAGACCATCGGGGTGCGGAGCTTCGTGAAGGTGAACAACTCTTTCCCTACTTCTCTTTTTTCCTTACTGCACATCGATCAGGGTGGGGGGGCACTCCATGAGATTTCCAAATTGCATGTCCTTGCAAATGCTTGTTATCAAGCGGATGATGACCTCTCGAGAGGAAGGCGCACGTCCAGGGCTAGTGAGAAGAAGGAAAAGGGTGGAGTTGTTATAAGATTCCTTCCTCCCCTCCTCAGTTGGAGTGTTCAATCGACGTAACATAGAATTCACCATAGTGCATAGGGGTGGTTCTATGTCGTGTAAAGATGCTGTTGAGGTTCTCTCACCATTTGCTTTACTACAAGTAGTTGATGGTGTGGTATTGGCAGAAGGTAGAGTTTTCCCTCAGGAGGATGTGATGGCTCCTCCTGTAGAGGGAGAAGAGGTAGGGGGAGCGGCAGTGTAGAAGGGCAGTAGTTGATCTTAGGTTGGGTCGTCATCTTTGGGGGCCGCTTTCAAGAGATCTAGTGATGTTGGGGAAAGAGTGGTAGGGGGATTGATTATGGAAAAAAGGGAGGAGGGTGGCGTTGTTGGTCAGGATGAGGGAGAGTATGCGGCGGCGGCCTTTTCGGCATCGGTACGAGCCTCGGTGATACTATGTGGTGTGGAATTGTCTTTTTCGTAGAGTTCTGAAGCTATTGATGAAGATGATGATAATGATGATGATGATTCGACAGTTTCTGTGGGGGGAGGAGAGGAGACCGGTGAAGAGGAGGAAGAGAAGGAGGCCTCTAAGGAGTTGGATGCTGAGGTGCTCCTCCTCGTCGGCCTCCTCCTCCTCGTTATCATCATCTTTATCGGGTCGTTGATGTGCCCTTCAGGCTTCGTGTGTCCCCAGTGGGGAGTCGGCTTGTCCTCCTGTTGGGGATGGTGATGTGGATGAGGGCAATGAGGAGGGGAAGTCGGGGGAGGTCTTCTGGGGGCTCTTTATAGATGAGGAGGAGAAGGAGAACAACAACCAGCAGCAGCAGCAGCAGCAAGGGGAAGAGGAAGACCCTCCAAAGGTGAGTATAGGGGAATATCATTTCTTTCTGTTGTGACGTGGCTCCTAGGTCCAGACTCCTCAGACACATACGACGATTACGCCGAAGAGGAGGAAACTGCGGCAGCATAGGGTGAGTGGAAAAGTGCCCTTGCTGGGAGTCGAACCTGGGCGGGTTCCAGGTCAGCGTTATAATCCCCAAGGACGCCTTCATCCCCACTGAGCTGCGTTACCACGGCCTAGTCCCTCTCATCGATGACAAGGTCAGCAGTAGTCTGTTGCCTAGTGGGGAGCTGAGGTCTAGTAAGCTGTGGAGGAAGTGCAAGAGGCAACCGTCGAAGGTCACTGTGAAGGGCGGAAACTGGTTGACGGTTGGTAACGTTGCAAGCGGTTCTCTTATGGTCACCTTTCCTCACTTGACCAAGACTTACGCGATAGAGGCTGATATTAAATTTGGGGGGCAGCAGAGGAATGTGGACCTACCTGAGGAAGTGCTGGCCATTCTGGGGGTAGGAGGACGGGGAGTTGATGAATTTATGGTATGAGAATGGGAGGGCTCAGGTCACTGAAACGGAGTCTTTCCCTGATCTCAACGAGAGATATAAGGGGAAACGGTACAATGTAAAAAGGTGGTGTAATATTCTCTCTACTTAGTCGCGGCCTTTCAGGTTATTATGGAGCTCGACCCCCACCAGGAGATTCCTAAGACTCTCCTTGATAAAGGCTTGGACCCTTATGCTCAGCGGGGCGCGATTTTACGGAGGGATGGTATCATTGAAACCCATCTTTTTCCCAAAATTGATGACGAGAAAAGTATATTGGCTCACCCGGAAGTTCGACTCGTCGGTGGTTCGTGGAAGTACAAAGAGAGTCGAGCCACGGGGAAAGTCCAAGTTCACTATCGAGATGTTCAGCCTGTTTTGGAAGTCCGATTGCAGTTCCCCAACGATGAAGTTCCGGACGATGCTCTGGCCTTCCTAGGGGTACTTGGGGTGAAGGTCTGCCTGCCCATGCACGCCAGAACTGTCATTAAAAATATTATCATTTCGGTTGAATATATGATGGCTATACGCATTCTAATGCTCATCCTTCCACAGCTAGGACGAAACGCTTTTTGGGAAAACTCTCCTTGTCGAGGGAAAGTATAGCATCGTAGAAACCGCATCGCACAACTCGGAGAGTTTTTTTCTGGTGTTCACAACTCAACACATTTGAAAGTGCTTCATCATTCACAGTGAAAGGGCGACTCAGAGGCAGCAACTGTTCTCTGTTTTTATTGCTGTTCACTGAAAATTAGAGCGGTGAAAAAATCACCCGTGGTTTTTCCTGGTAATTTGTTCATACTTGTCAGATTGAGAAAAAGACTCTTTTAGAGAGGGCAGCGAGGAAGACCGGCAAGGTAGGCCATCGACAGAGTCATTGAAGTATGTTGATACCACTGTGCACTTTAGATACTGGGCACTATCAAGGTCATCATGTTCACCGGTGGTTTAGTCGAGGCTGGTTGTTGTTGGTTTTCAGGCACCTCCTCCACGGGTGTTTGGTTTTGACCCGACTCGAAAGTATATTGGGAAAAAAACTAAAGTAAGGGGGGGATGAGCACGATATGAAAATCGTGAGGGAATTCCGGGAAATTATCGTTGACTTCTGTACAATGCGTAACTAAGCCTCTATCGTCAGTGAGAGAACTCCCAAGCTCAGCTTAGTAGAGATATATATCCGCTAAGACTGGGGAAGTATATTGCTGATGATAGGTTCTAGTGACAATAGCGAAGTCGACCTCGATATCTGGGCCGCAGCTGACAGCAATGAGAGAGGACCTAGGGCTGGCACCACCGAGAAAAGGATTAGAAATGGAGGGCTGGCTGAGGGAGGATGGTATCATTCTCTCTAATGTGTTTGCGCCCATGAAGAGGGACAAGTTGTATTACGCTGAGGTAAGTGAGGATTATTACTACTACGACTTTCTTGGGTTGAGGGTATATGTAGATAATAAAAGGAACGTGGATGACGAAGGGCCGGCATAATGCTTGGGGTAAGGCGAGAGTACGGTATGGGCAGAAGGTCTCACCTGTTATGGACATACAGTTGAAGTTCCCTAAGGGTATTCCTAACAAGGCATTCAGGGCTCTCGAGGTGAGCCCATCCACATCATGCATTACACAGCACTGGCTTTAGTTACATGAAAAACAATCTTTGTGGGCTAAGGTGAGGGCAGCCGAGTTGTCATGAATTCCCTCTTTGTTGTTGTTGTTGTTGGGAATTCCTTCCTGTTGCAGATGAAGTCCCGTAACGGTGCTATGGAAGTGAGCAATAGGGCGAGTACCAGATGATAGGGTGCGATTCGAGAAAATCATCATCACGAAGAATGAGTTGTCCATTGTCATCGTTGTCGATTGTTGTTCATTTCTCTTATTTTACTTCTTCGTGTTGTTGTACATGATAAAGGTGTCCGATTATCCGCAAATGTTCGTCTTGTCAATTCGCTATTACTGGGCATTCCCTCTCTGTCGGTTGGTGTTGGAATGGATGTGCTGACGAGTTTCAGCGCAAGCTCCACACACGGCCAGAGGTAGGTACTCAGGAGTACCAGAACTCCTGTTTTGGGGGGTAATTGGCCTTGCAGAACTTCTGCAGAAGTTCCACCGAAGAATACCTATGTCATTAATACTAGTAGCCAATCTACGAGTCAGCTTTCCCTCCTCCCTATCCTTGTTCCCTCAATGAAGTTCAACCGTTCTGTTGCTGTTGCCATCCTCGCCGCTATCCAGGGGACCTCAGCTCTTCAGGTAGGGTTGGATTTGATTATCCATGTCGCCTATGGTCCTTTCAGGGTATCAGACGCTCTCAGCAGCAGGAGGAACCCGAGCCTGATTATCCTGGAGCTGATGGGGGATACTCTGATGCTACTAACATGCTAGCTAAAGTCAGCAACAGTCATCCGGTCGTGAAACAAAAGGTAGACACTCGGGACTCGTTCAGCTCCAGCTGAGTTTGGGCATATTTTGTTTTCAGGGTAAATTGCAAGCGCCGGGTACAATTGTAAGAAAGACTTCGAAGCTGTGATAAGGATATGGTATTTATTTCAGGTCAAGAGGGAGCACTTTAGACGAGGACTTCTGAATGCATTCAACACGCCAACCGAGGATGACTTGAGGCGCATCCCTGAGGTAAGCTTGTGCAAGTTGTTGTTGTTGTTGTTGTTGTTGTTGTTGTTGTTGTTGTTGTTGTTGTTGTTGTTTTTGTTGTTATTATTATTATTATTATTATTATTGTTATTATTGTTATTATTGTTATTATTGTTACTATTGTTGATGATGATTATATTGATATTGAAGCCGTGGTATCTTTAGAGTACCAAGAAGTTGATGGAGGAAGCTCAATCGGCCAGGAAGGCGGAGTATCGTTCGATGACTGATGCTGAGAAAAAAGAGCAGCTGGCCAGGAAGAAGAGGCTGGACAAGTCTTTGGCTTTGGGAGGGTCGGCAGCGGCCAAGGGTTATTTGCAAAACCGTATAGACAACGGCCTTGGAGACGTTTTTGAAGTCGAACCTGGATTTAATCTTGAGACTGAGAATACTCATTTCTGAGATTCTCCACTCTATGACTCCTCCTGTTGTTGTCGATAATGTTGCCCAATGATTATCATCATCATCATGTTGTGTGTGTTATGATATGTATATACTATCATTCTTATTGAGTTTTCCCCTATCGTTATCCTCACTCTTGAACGAGGAGTGTTCAATTCTCGTAGAGCTTCCTTTATAGAGATGAACACCTTGTAGACCAACACCATATTGGTTCTATTCTGCTGTAGTCCAAAGCCTCGGCATCGCCCTTACTGATACCATAATCTATTCACATCACACTGTTACTGAATACTAGTAGTTTGGGAAACTTGCTACTACTCCTTGTAGCTGTTTTGCCCAGCATGGTGATGAAGTTATTCGTTGTATTCGCGACTTTACTCACTGTACATGCCTCGACCCTTACCAAAGTAAGGCCGAGCCTCCTTGCATATGGGAGATGTGATACAGTCTTTGTTTGTTCAGAGCAACAAGTCGACTATTCAAAGGCATATTGAGGAACTTCGAGAAGAGTCTGAGGCTAAGGGGAAAGTAAAGAGAATAATCAGCAGCCAATCCTTCTCACACGCCTCTCAGTCCATCGCTGAGCACTTCTTGAAGCCAGTTGTGCAAATGAGGAAGAGACCACCACAGGGGCGACGAGCTTATTCAACAGGCGACGTACGATTCGATGTGTGAAATAACCCAGCACATTGTAGATTCCCTCGGAAATGGCGACGGCACAGATGAAGGATATTCTAAAGAGAGCTAATGAGTTGGGCATGGTGAGTGCGTGTGAGTAGTGTCATTGTCGATAGAGCAGTTCCTAACAGAGTCCTGCACAGTACTGGTTGAAGCATAAAGGGAAGTATTCTGAAGCTAGGGTAACCGATATGGATTCCGAGTATAGAGCTGACAAGAGGAGGGCGAGGAGGAGTTGGTCTTCCTCATTAGACTCTCACCGTTAGTTGTACATATGAGCTGTTCTTGTTGAATGCTACTTCTTCCGCATTTGAGTTGGGGAGCGACCAACTCCTTCGTGTTGACCGTTTTTGCGAGAGCTTCTTCTTATCGCTCCGCAACAACATGTATTCCACTGCCTGGATCCTGCTCATCATCTACGCTGTGATACCAATCGTTCCTTGTCGTGGGCATGAGCCCAGAGGAGTAGGTGTATTCATCGTGCTAGGGGCCTTCTGATTGGCTTTTTGTAGGGCTTAGTTCGCAAGCGCGTCTTGGAATACGAGCCTAGGGTTTTCGAGGGGAAGAAGGCTCGCATGAGCACCAATGACATAGTGCACGAGCTGAATAGGGTAGGCGAGGCACACGATACGTGTTGCACTTTTCACTACTCAGAGGAAGAGAGTATGGAAGAAGGCGGAGAGGAAGAGTGGGGGGGCGCTTACCCCCGCAGAGGTGGACGACTCATCCAATCAGTGTTAGAGTTTATGTTCACTTCCCGAACTCGGGATTTTCCTCATTTATTTTGAGAGTTTTTATACGAATTCGAGTAGAAGTGTACCAAAACCGTGTACCAATATTTTCTCAAAATTCTCATATTGTCACCGACATGTAGTTGGCCATGTGCATATTTCCTTATCGAGCAGCGTACTCTTCTATTTCAGAGGAAACGATTCGCCTTAGTCCTAGGTGACAGAGTCGACGCTTATGATCCGGACTTCTTGGTGAGTGACATTCAATCGATATAACACGAGAGTGCCTCTCCTTTTCAGAGAGACCACGAGGCCCTCATGGACGAGCTCACCTACCACACCACTGGGCTAGCCAAGAGCCTTGAGGCCTCGAGTAGAGCTAAGGCAAAGGATAAAGTAAGTGATAGTAGGTCTAAGAGCAGCTGTTGGGCACCGCTGGTGTTGGCGTTCAGAATGCCAAATTTACTGACGACGAGATGAGCTATACTCTCGAAAAACGAGTCCCTCCAAAAGTGAGGAGTAGCTGCGTGACTGGAGAGGTGTCTACTGTTATTCGTGTAGCTTTTGTTGGAAAGAATCAAGGCATTCAACAAGCTTAGCAAGGAGGAACAGGCCGAGCAGCTTGCACCGTGGAAGGCCGAGAGAAGGGAGAAGGAAGAGGCGATCATCGAGAGGAAGAAGAAGGACGACACCTTCAACGGATTTGGTAACCCCCGGAAGCACAGAGTTGTCTCAGCTAGATGAGCTCTTGCATTTACATGTTGTTGTATGCTGTGTTGTTGTATTCACATGCCGTATGTTGAAAAAAGACAATTCGTGTTATAGTTAATTTTTGTGTACACATATCATAATACTCATACTTTCCTGGACCTTCGTGTTATACCACGCTCAGCCCACATTTCTCCTAGAGCTTATATACTCAACAATAGTAAATAGAGAAACGATTATATCCGAAACAATACGTCACATGAGAGGGAATTCATGCGCCAGCGGTATCATTCTCCTTTTCGCATCTACAACAAACGTCATCAACTACACATTACAAGTCGGCATACTCCTACTTCGACTCGAAGCTCTTTCCCTCAATATCACACTTCTTGCCACTCAGCCATCGTGCAGTCTCAGCACAATGCTCCTCTACAGGAGTCAACTTGCCCAGAGCCAGACGTAGATCCAAGGGCATCGGCACGTACACGTCCACAGTAGCATCTAACAACGACAGTGGGCTGAGGTAGGCACTCCTCGACTGTACCCTTCTCATCAACAACATCCATTGGTTGATTATAACAGAGTCGATAGCTGTGCAGGAAGGTCCGAGGACACCACAATCTGTCTATTGCACACACCGCCTTGGCAGCCTCGGGGTCGGTCGGATTACCGTACTTCGGATCGCATACCAAGGGATGGCCGATGTACGCCATATGCACTCTGAAGGGGAAAGTAGTAGGACTGCAGCAGGAGTTGGAGGAACTCACCTAATCTGATGTGTTCTTCCTGTATGCAACTTCACTAACACCAACGAATATTCCTCGCCAGATCTACACACGTACTCACATGTGTATCAGCCAACAACTACTGAGCTCACCCGTCATTGTAATGGGCCACCGGTACAGCTTCCGTAAGGGAAGGCTTTCCATCAGGCGCTACTACACACGTGGTGCTGTAGGACTGCCCATTGTCCAGAGTCGACTTGAGGATCTACCAGAGCCCTTTTAGAGGAGTCCCACCACGAGCTCACTATATGACTTTGATTCGATCACTTATCACGCTCTTCTTCCCAACAGTTCCCATATGGCCTTTCACCAATGCAACGTATTCTTTATCGATCTACAGTTAAGACTCTACAAAGTTATGATGCCTGTTTCTACCTGGTGGGAACAGAAGACCAAGCGGCCCATATAGAAGCCTTTATAACTATGAGCCAACAGTAGAGGACCGCTAGTGCCCACATCAAGGCGATGGAGTATACCATGGGCATGATGACGATCCCTTGCTATCGGGTAACCAGTGTAGGCCTCTTCTACCCACTCCTGACCACCACTATCTCCTCAACACATTCAGCTTGCTATTACTATTACCTGCAAGCCAGAGGCATTCCCGTTGGCACTAGTCATCGTCTTGAAGGCAGCATCCTTGGCCTCGGCCTCTTCATCCGTGGCGTCATCTACCTCCCCCTCAGCCGCCCCTGCTATAGCAGAAGTCACTGACACGTGCCTGGACAGGACAATCATATTGTGTGGTTCATGTTATCGGCCCATCACCAATGAGCGGGCTTCCAGATGACACTTAAATGCTTCGTCTCGTGGAGGACCTAGAAGCCACCATTCGAGCCATGACCAACGAAAGGTTTCGAACTACAGCCGGAACTGTGGTATCCATCTCGTCCATGTCCACCGGCTGAGGCCTCTCACCGACTCCGCGGCCTTTCGCTTCGTCTTTCTTATTGCCCAGTTGCCGTACTCTATCGAGACAGGCTTCATACAGCTGCTTATCCAACCTGCTTGTCCGAGGTCACTACACTCTATCCAACACGACTCACCTCTTCGCCGTAGAGTAGGCCCACACTAGACTGAATAAATGATTAGCCTCGAAGTCTTTCATTCTATTGAGAGATTCCTC